AGTATAAATTTTTCAGTAATTTTCCTATCATAGTATCGGATTGTCTAGAAGTGGATGTAAAAAATTATGTTTATCATATCAATGTAATTATAATATTTATTTAGGAGACAGGTTGTATTCTTCTAACACTGTTGAAGGTTGGTAACAAGTGAAGTAATGTGTTAAGGATAACATTTGTTATTCATTGTCCATTTGTTTTTAATACAATGTATTCGATAATTATTATGTCAATTCACTGGATCATATCAGTTGTATTAATTGAAATAGTATTAATTACGTCTGTTACTCTTCGTGGAGAAGCATAGACCTCTCACTAGGATTCATCAACCAATTCTGTCCTGGGCTCTCCTTTCCAGTTGTTTCTGATTGCTATTCCTTCTCTTGATTTATGCCTCCAATTCCCAACTCAATATGTTCTTGGATCGTCCTCTTTTCCTTTTTCCATGAGAATTTTTGGGTCAGGACTTACCTCACGATGCAGTCTGATGATTTCCACAATGTATGTCGTACCCACCTCCAGTGTCTTTTCCTAATTTCCTCTTCAGACGGAGGCTGGTTTGTTCTCTCCTACAGTAGGTTGTTGCTGATGGTATATAGTCAAAGTACATTCAGCATATTGAGTTGACAATTGTTTAAAAATACTTGTACAGTTTGATAGTTGAAGTTGTTCTCCATTTTCCTGCTTCGTACAGTAGAACCGTCTTGACGTTCGTATTGAAGATTGTGACTGATGTTGGCTTACAGAAAGTTGTTTTGAGTTCCATATGTTCTTCAACTGTAGGAATGCTGTCCTTTCCTTGCCATTCCTTACCTTTAAGCCTGCATCTGATACTCGTTGTTCATCGATGATGCTGTTCAGTTACGTGAAAGTTTCTACCTGTTCCAGAGTTTCTCCATCAATTGTGATTGGTTTGGTGTTCTTCGTGTTGTATTTGAGGATCTCGCTTTTCCCCTTGTGTATGTTGAGGTTGACTGATGCAGAGCCCACTGGTACACTACTTATCGTAACCTGCATTTGTTGGTAATGTATGAAATAGAAGAGTTAGTTCATGTGAAAAGATCAAATCGTCTAGTTGCATGCAAGCTGTCCATTGTATTCCGTGCTTCCTTTCCTGAGATGTGTCGGTCTTCATAATCCAGTCGACCACCAGAAGGATGAGAAAGGGGAGAGTAGACAGTCTTGTCTGACACCGGTCCTCGTTTAAAATGCATCTGTCTTCTATGCATGACTTTACATTGTAGTTCGTTGTATGAATTCTGGGTGATGTTGACGATCACAGGTACACCACAGTGTTGCGAAAAAGTTACACAAGGCTCTCCTATCCACACTATTAAACGCATTATAGTCTAGGAAGTTGATATATAGTGACGAGTTCGGTTTAATTGATTATTCAACAATGATCCGTAGTTTCGCGATATGGTCGGTACACAATCGATTCTTACGGAATCCTACCTGATGGTTTCAAAGTTGGTCGTCAACTGAATCTTTCACTTGATTTAACAAACTTGAGAACTTTTCCTCGTATTGATAATAGTGTGATGTAACTATAGTTCTTACATTTGCAAAGGTCTCCTTAATTAAAATCATAATACTAAAAATTAATATTCTAATTGGCTTTTCTAGTTACTTGTTGATATTTCATCTTAGTGTTTTCAAACTCAACAGTAAGATAGTTAATTTCCCGTTACCATTGGTTAGTGATACTACGATACGTGGTGTAGCTTTATTTAAAATATATTTTAAGGATATGAGGTAGCCAGAAAAGGTGAATATTTCACATGATTCTTAAATACCCTCTTGTTATTTTATTCGATGAAAGTATGTGTTGCCTTCGAATACAACATTTGCTACTTCATTATTGACTAACTAGAGTCAATATAACATCAACTTCAATAGTGTTAGAATAAAGATCTGTCAATTTGGAGGAACACAGTACAAAGAAACTGGCAACATAAAACACTAATATTGATTTTCAGCTATGACACCTGTTTGTTTTAAATCATTAGTTTTGTCGCCTCATAAAATCTTGTCAGTATGTCAACTGTTATTCATATGACTCACAATAATAGTGATTAAGATCATCAATTATCATCATATCCTGATCTCGTTATCTCTTAAAGTTTTTCCATCACGCTCATAACTCAATCAATTTCGTGCATGATAATACAAACACATTTACCAAACATTTACAGTTTACCAACCAGTTGACCATTTCTGACAAACTTAATTGCCGGCTCTATAATTTTTAAATGCTACTTCAGCATTTTCTCACATATGATTAATTCAAATAACGTAAATACTACTTATATATATTGAATTCTCAGGGAATGACTTACAAGTTGTCTCATTTTACATCATCTTAACGCTGAATTTCAATGATATTTCTTCAACTTCACTATTAGGCTTTACTTATTATTGTACGTTATCAGATAGAGAAAATATTGTCGGAGTTTGAGCAAAAATAACAATCCTTTAAAATAAATGTACTTTTCAATAATAATAGTATAGGTAGTTGTTGTATAGAAAAATTATTATATTCATTTCACTATCACATGCTGTTCATAATTTTAAAATAGTGATTTTTATTAATGCTTATTAATTTATCATTTATTCATCTTTATGGTACATAATGAAAAATGAATGAAAAACAATTTAAATTTTTATTAGAAATTTAATTTTTTGAATTGTTTTGATAATTTCAATTTTGCCTTAGTGATTGTTAATTAAAACAACTAATTTTCAACTATTAGGTTGGAAGCAAAGATAGATGGTGACTGGCAGTGGGATCCAGGACGCGCATTTCATCCTATTTGGAGCTCGTCAGCTGGATTCACCCGCATCCCAAATTTGGTGCTCACTCCGGGACTCGAACCCAGCATCATTCGCTTTAAACGCCATAGCGTTATCCATTTAGCTTCTAAGTCCTGACAACCACTAGCTTGTGCAATGGGGTGAAGTTTAAATTTATTTTTGTTTGTAATGCTTGTGACTTAAGGCAATATCGTGGTAATCCGTACAGGATGGACATATACTAATGAGAGACTGATCAATTACAGTCTTAAACATCAATGGGAAGATTCAAACAAACAATATAAAATGAATTTATTAGGTTGGAAGTTGTAAGCAATAATTCACTTACCATCTTCAGTACGAATATTCGAGGAGTATCATCGTCTCTCAAGTTACTAGCATTAATGAAAACTGGGTTTATGAATATGCTTTTGGTTGTTAAATTACATTAAAGTTAATAAATTTAGATTTTTAAAAGAGCATTAGTAAAACCATATTTTTGTATATACATTCATATTATATTAGTTGTATTCAATAATATACATATTTATAAATGAAACATAGTTCTTATCATAATCATTGACGGTTAAGTTATTCTTAACAGTCGTTCTTTTTATTCTAAAACTCATCTATATGTTTATGATATATAGTTAAATTGTACTGATAGAGCTGAGTTTCTATAACAAAACATTTTATTTAGTGCACTGAATAGCCTAAACTAAACCAATGACATAATACATACAATCTTTTACTGTGATTCCTATTTATATCATTTTACAGCATTTGATAGGAGTGAAACCGAAAATATAATTGATTTAATCCACTTTTTGTTTGAAAGTTTATGATAATATTGCATTACATCAGTTTTATTTAAAAATTTATTTCAAAGAAGTTGTGATAACATATCACAATTCTTTTTTCATATCAACTAACTTTCTGGGTTAATAAACTATGTTTAATTGTGAGCAACACATATTTTGTTAACGGGTACTCAACATATGTCATACTGTCAAGCAACTCATCAGCCTATGATCATGTTCTGTAATGAGTATAATATACACATCTCATATTGTATGATGGCTAGAAATACTATCGCGTTATTCAGATGAAAACCTGTCATTTATTGGTTGAAAAATTAAGTACCCGTAGATCCATCAAATTAAATTTAAAAACTGTGACCTTTGAAAAATCATTATTCCTGGTTTCAATGGATTTATCAGTGAGAAGAAACAGATTAATTATTTGGTCTATACAATTTAAAAATAATAAGAATTGGAAACATTTTATTGAGACAAAGTTTGGTCATTTCTAAAAAAATTCTTCCATATATCCAAGTCATAAAATGGTTTAACCAATCTCTTTTGTGTAAGCATGAATTCGTAAAAATAATTTTTACAATTATGCTAGATATCTCAACAGTTTATATCAATATTAATAATTATTCTATCTACTTACTTGAACACATAAATATTGGTACAAAATGACACCGAATAAATATGCGCCACACAAGTCACTTGATTTGTGTGTGGGCTGTGATACTGCCCGGGTACCCAAATCGAAGTGTGTGATTTTACTGGGGGGTCACACTTGGAGCCTTTGACCTAAAGATCTGATCCACAAGGCGGTGGAGGAACGTCAGATGTAGTCCCATAGTACCCGGTCACCAACAATTGGTTCATACTCCATTTGCTCCCTCAGGATCTTGGAGCCCATGTGCATCATAGAGCCCATTGTTGATATTGAGTACTGAAATTTGATCAGCTTTTGTTGGTATATGTGCGTTCTGATGAAATTGCCCGGATACAACCGTTATGACACAAGTTTTTATATAATAGAGAAATTATGGCTAACCATAGAATCCAAGGTGCGTATTCCTTTTTATTTTGACTCGTCAGCTGGATGTATCCTCATCTCAGCTGACAGTTGTTATAAAGCAGGTGTTCGTTTATGATTGATTCAGTGAATATTCACTAACAGTAATTTATTGGGGTTGGGTACCTATTTCCATAGACTTTTATATTACGACCTAAACTGTATGGAAGTGTTCGTCTAAGCTTTTTATTTTATCGTTTTTTAAAATTTTGCACAGGTCTAGTTACTTATGAGTAGTTAAGTTCTTATTTATGTATTTTTGAGTAGTGTTATATCTATCCTTCATCATAAGTTTATTTGATTTCAACTTTCTCTATAAAACGAAAATCCAAATCAGATCTACATTCTGACATACCTCCTGATGTCGGTAATAACTTAGAAGTTGCACAAGATCATTCTAACGAATCCGATCCAAGTTTAGGGTAAGTTTTTCATTTTGTTCTGTATTTCATATGATACATTCCGAAATGTAGCACATATAAGTATAATTCGTTCCAACTCAAGTATGAATGTAAAATCCTATTTGTAGTTATAATATCCACCACGTTTCTAATTACTTGCTTTTAATTAGTTTTTTTTGTATGTTATATAAATTATATTTTTATTTCTAATTAATAGTATATGCTTGTCTATTTGGTTGCAACATGTGTTTTTTTAAAGATAAACTCTTAGCAAATTTATCATTCATGTATAAATGAAAACTTAGTAAAGTTGGTTTCGTCTCGGGGCTAATTTCGCTGAGCAATATACTCATTAAGAACTAGACGGTAGAGAGATTGCTTCACGGTAATTGCGTGATTGTTTGTTACCTACAATCATAGGATATTTAGGACCTGTTAAAGATTTTAGTAAAGAATGAAAAGAGGGCGTTGCTGTTGATGGTATAATTTGAAATTGGTGGAATTCAAACATCTTAATCACTAAAATTTGACTTAGTGGATTAAGATTGTTACTGCGATAAAGTTTGAATAAACTAGTTGATCATCACTTATTTTTAGCATAGCTTTTATGGGGATTATAGATTTTTCATAGATTTAAATCACGAAATGATCTTAGATAAGCCTTCATTGAGAACTAGGAAGCACTGAACATTTGATTTTTAGTACAAAACTCTTCAGCACTACGATCACACAATAAGGAATCGTACTCAGGATCTTCGATCTCACGCTCCAACGGCCACTAATCATGTGTCTGATAGTGTTAACGTCTAACTTTAATCAAATCACGATATCGAACGTCCATCCTCCACTGCTTGCGGTAGAAAAAATGTCTCATATATGACAGTTGAGGTCCCCAAGTGACAACTTAAAGAAACTCTGTAGATAGTGGACAAGGGTTGCGCAATAACGTGATTTGATAGAAGCTAAATTTTAACACCACTAGATGCCGACTCAGTAAACTAGAGGTTAGGCGTTGAGGAATTGTGTTGTTTCTTATTTCAAATTCCTGTATTTATGTTATGCTTGCAGAATATGACTGATTTGATGTTGAGGACGGGATAAATTTCGATATCCAATATCGTGTAACATCGTTGCTGTATGGTAAATGTTTTTGTTAGCACATGAAACAGAGCTTTGCCGGCTGTTAAATCGGGGGTCCGAATTCTAATACATCTACTTTTTAATGTAGACATCACAGTATCTTGGTGTCTAGAATTGTTCATTATTTCTCTTCATAAACATGCTATATGCTATGGAGTAAAAGTTTGGACATTAAACCCGATTATCTCTACATATAGCTCCACACTGTTATGGTAATCTCTTAATATTATGTTATTGTTGTATAGCTCTTTTCATTCTACTTTACTGTTTGATTTTTTTCTTCACACTAGTGAAACTATGGAAAATAATGTTGAAAACAATAACGTTATTCCTGATGTTATGCAAGTATGTCTATAACGTAAAGTGTATTTTCTCTCTCTTACTTCTTATTTTAACTATATTTTAGTGCTATGACTTTTCATGCATCATTTTTCATATTATCATTTCATGTCTGTATCCACTAACCATTATATTTTGGATTATGTTAGTTATTTTATAAGATTTTAAATTTCGGAAGTATACAAATAATCAACCCATAATGATTTCTGCTAAATTTTCGTTATATTAACGTTCAGTAAAAGTGAATAAAACCTATCAAACTTTTCCATTACTTAAGTCAATGTCGTTGGGATAATGCTATAGATAAGCTTTTAAAATTCAGCCAACAACCGAGTCAATAGTTCCTTGTGGATAAGAAAACGTTTTATCGTTCGTTTCTGCAGATATCTATTAATACTCTTAAGTATTGTTTATATAGCTCGAAAATTTCTATTTAAATTCCGTTGTGATTATGTTCGTATCTAAATGGTTTATAATGTAACCAGTTTAGTTGAGATGGATAGAGTTTATTTTGTTTTGTAGAAGGTTGAAATGGTTTACATAATTGATTATCTAAAGAATATGTATATACATATTTATATCGTGAACAAGAGGATTTCGAATGCTATTAAATAATTGTGAACAGTTGTCGTTTCCTAGTCACCTACATCGTGTATAGCTATTTCCTTTTGAGGCACCTGAAAAAGAGACTGAATTGGTAGCGACCACGGCAACCTGGGAGTGTCCTCTCAGAGCACAAAGGAAAACTGCTTGACACTGATCACACAACCTTTTCAGTAGCAGTTTTTATAAAGTAATTAGTCCCTTTTGTAAATTTAGGAGGAGACGGAGCTGATCTGGAAAATGTGATGTATTTGTGTTATACATTTCGAACCATCTGGTCATACATATACTTGTCAGGGCATTTTATATGAAGATTAATAAAGGTCAATAAAATGAAAATTCAAGTAAACAAGATTAGGTCTGCAATTTAACGGTCATACTGCTGGCGGCGGAAATCCATGTGGTAAGGTGAGGTGTGCGATTTCCAGGGTCGACCTTTTCTAATCCTTTCTTTTTACCTGAGGGCAGAGCCGACTTTGTTTAAGGAAATTATATGGTGCCTCCATACCCCTGTGTAGTCTGTACTAAGACTTCGCCCTTGGAAACTCGTTTGCTCCTTTTAATCTTACCGTTCTCGAGCGGATCTAGCTGGCATGTTGGGACCTAAAGTAGTGAACGTTCCAGTCATTATAAGTCGGTTCAATCATGGTAGACATCAAGGTAGTAACTACTGTCGTGTTGATACGGAAAAAGGACGAAACCGATAAAATTGGAATAATACAAAAATGAACCGAAATAATAATAATAATAATAATAATAATAATAATAATAATGTATAGCACATAACAATAATGTTCAGGCATCACATCAGAGTATCTTTTTGTCATGAAGGTGACATCGTGTTTCTCCACTATTTGTTATTTTTAAGTTGACATTTTGTCTTTGAGTTATATAATTTTTTTATTAGTAGCATTCGAAAAATATGTTCATAATATAGATACTTAACGATAAGTTGCATAATATCTATTCATCTAATTATTTGAGCATACCCTTATCTAGCCTTAATATTGAACAGTCCCGAATACACTTTAACCTTCTTCAATGTTACTTCTGTCTAGATGATTCATAATATTCAACGCATTGCTAAATATTCTTAATTCTGTTGAAGTGACTATGTTCAGAAGCTATAGTTGAAGTAAAACTTGTTAGTCGGTAGTTTTGTCGGATTATCAATACAAGCGTCTTGTGTTTTAACGAAGGATTATCACTCCAATATAAGTTTAATAATTATTGAAAACAAGTTTTGTAGTAAGTGTCACACATTTAAACGTGAAGTTTAGCCTGTTTTCTACTTTGTTTGATTATCCATAACCAAATGGAAGACGTTCGTTCATACATAAAAATTGTTCTATTTTGAAATAGTTTGTTAAGTTTGAATGTTGATCATCACTTCACTGTTACACTATGACGTTTAGGTTTACATCTAGTTAATCAGCTATTTTAGGAAGTATTGCGTAACTTCTTACAATTTTTTAGGGTAGAAATCAGTAATTTTTAAATTTATTATTTTATTTGTAAATTGTGAATTAAATAATGTCATGGAAAATTATAAATGTTTAGTTAAGAAAAGAGATACACCACTTACAGATATTATAAAAGTTTACAAACTGCTTTAATTAAAATTATGGTTTTGTTATGGATGCTGAGGAAAAATATACCAATAATTATCGTGTTAAGTCTATGGTGGCCTTAGACCTTAAATGTACATTTCCTATTGGTCGGTGTTTATTTCACTTGTTAAATATTGTGTAAATGTTGTTTTCTATTTTATGGTACGATGTGGTTTGTTTGTTTGCTATACAAATAGAGTATGTCTGAAATACAATGATTCATAACTCAGAGGCTGTGACTTGTGTTCTTGACTCAACTGGCTAGGACAGACAGCGAAGCAGGGCCAATCAGGGCACTAGGTCGTCCACTACGTGTTTACGTGTCACTGTCACCGAATCGATCAATAAAACGCTGCGCATCTAACCTGCAGTCCACACGTTACAACAGGTTTTTTATACTATCATCTAAGTATGATTTTTTTGTAAATAATTGTTACAGTTAGATTGTTGAAATTCAATAATGTAGGATGTAGTTCACCTGGTATTGTTTTGGTTTGTATCTTCCCATTGAGGTTTAAGACTGCAATTGATCAGTCTGTTATCGGCATATGTGCATACTGTGCGTATGCCTCGATATTGCCTTAATTCACAAGCTTTTTGTAAGCAATGATGGATAGTGGGTGAACATCAACTCTGAGATGCAGGTACATCCAGCTGACGAGTCCCAAATATGACGAAGCGCGCATCCTGGATTCCACTGCTAGCCACTATCCATCATTGCTTACAAAAGTAGGATGTAGTTGTTTTCATTCTTTAACAGTGTTTGTTACTGACTGAACAGTGTTTGTTACTGAAGAGTAAGTTAATCTATTTGTGTACATTCAAGAAGGTGATATTTTCTCTTGATAAATGATTCCGCGAAAAAAGAACAACATGATATCATACTGATCTTCAAACAATCTAGTAATGATGATTATTTATTTAGTTTATAATTTTCTTAGTGATCTGTCATAGTTTATTTTTGTAACAATCTTAATTATGCTTATCGTTATAAAATAAAATCAATAATCGTCCATCTTCTCTAAAAGGAAATAATTGTATGGGTAATTTAAGTAACACAATTGTTTCATTTTCTAAACTATACTCAAGAAACGCTGATAGTTAAAATAAGTATTTACAAAATAATACTTAAATTTATAATTAAGGTTCATTATTTGTTAGTGTATTTCAAATCATTCGGAAGCATTGCATTATTTGAACATCCTTAATTATGCCCACTCTTCCATATGATTGTTGATAAATAGGCATATGAATTTTAAAGGACATTGATCTTAAAGTGTGTCTAGTTTTATCAAAATATTTATATCGAATATTTTTCTAATGTAAATAAACTTTGTCAGGTAGTTAGCAACAAATTTTGAACCTAGTTTTCATGCTATTAAGTTCTTTTCAGTAAGATGTATCTGTAATCTGGAGGGAAGTGGTCTTCTCCGGGGGGATCCGAACCCGCGCCACTCAGCTTCATAGTCTGAGATATCACGACTTAATTACTCAGGCTGTTACTGTACCCGGTAGTTTAAGTGAATCGATGTCTCATTCATTATATTGAGACGTTAAATGGTTGGAGGAAGATAACAGGAAGCCTGATCAACACTGAAGGATTGGGTATTTGTAAAATTAGTCACTACTCAGTGACAAATCAGTTGTTCATAAGCTTTCAGTACGTAATAAACGAAATAGGTTTAGTTATTCATTCTACAGAAATCCCCCGATTACCTTTCACTAGTTCCGTGTAAATATAACAATAAGGGATTCAACAAACATTCTTCTGGAAACAAAAATTTTAACTAAAAGACAGCGAATAAAGCCAGTGAGAATTTCGTGTTGATTAATGTGTTTATTAAATACACTGAGTAGTTTTATATTTCATAACTATTCTTTTTTGTAATATAAATAGTTGGTCATGATTTCCTAAGATACCAAAAATATTTCTAGTAATTTTTGGCTTTTATCACAGAAATCTATTAGTTTGGACGAATATAAAGACAGAAAGTTCACAGTTGTTGTGTTGTTTACGTAGAATTACCTATCGTTGTAATATATACAATGACTTCTGCTTATTGTCAATAATTTAACCAATCGTAGTTTTAAATTGTTTATTAATAAAACAATGGATTTATTGTCTTATGATTAGATCTGATTGGAAGAAAGTGTTTTGTTTATTCTGACTTTAAATAAACCTGATATTATTTATAAATGAGCACCTCTAACATAAATATGAGATTATTGTATAAAGAATCGATTATTTCTATTTTCAAGTGGGAGAAACTGTCCTATTTATTATAAGTGTTGTTTTATATACAGTCATAAAGTTTATTAGTGGTGAGTTGGTTTGTGTATTCTTTAGTTAATAAAAACGCTATTAAGTAAAATTAGATTTTGGTGTAATTTTATATTATCTTTTATAATTCATAAGTTTATCATAAACTAATCAGAAAGGATTTTATAATTCAAACAACGGTCAAATCCACTTGTTAATCAGATGGAATACTCAACATGGATTATCTACACTGACCTTTAAAGATCTGTCAAACATACTGAGGTGGTAATTTTATCTAGTTGAACGAATGCATTGTAACAGTGTTAGCTCATACGATACCATGTGATTTAGATTATAGTGTCACATCAGCTGATAGAATATGGAAATATCAGTTATCTACTGCTAAGTTTTGGCAATATTCGAAATTCTCCTTAAACATAAAGTATTTGTAGTTTTATGTTACTTACTTACGCGTGTTACTCCTAATGGAGCATAAGCCGCCGACCAGCATTTTCCCACCCACTTTGTCCTGAGCCTTCCTTTCTAATTCCACCCAATTCTTGTTCATTTTTCTTATGTCCACTTCCATTTCCCGGTGTAATGTATTCTTTGGTCTTCCTCTTTTCCTTTGGCCTTGAGGATTCCATGTGAGGGCTTGTCTTGTGCTTTCCTCAATGTGTGTCCTATCCACTACCAGCGCTTCCTAATTTCTTTCTCCGCTGGGGTTAGCGAACCCATCCCGTAGAAAACTGACTCGCAAAAAAGCGCTAACCAGAAAAAACTTTACGTTACTAATACTAATATATTTATATATATTCTCCATAATTCCTTCCTATGTATTTTTAATATCCGTTCTTTGAAATATATTGGTCAAATATTAGCTTTCGAAGTAACATATGTTTCCAATTCCTACTCTGTTGTTTGATCTCGAGAAAATTATTAAATAACAGTTAACAAGCGTTAAACTTAATTATCAACTGTCAGATAGACAGTCAAAAGTAACATAGAACCTAGCACATGTATACACCAGTTCAAGTTGCCATACCCCATTAGCACAGGGAGTTGAAATTTTTAAAGTGAATCCCAGAGTGGTGGAGGTAACAACAGTATAAGTGGTAATGGGAAAAAAATGGCATGGAAGGTCCGACTCAAGAAAGTATAAATTGGTGAATTAAAATGATTATGAGGAATTTAGAGACTTAAGATCTTAGGGAAAGGAAAGAGTAGGTGCATCAGCACCATTGCAAATAATGTCGAGCCATGTCATTCAAGGTCTCTAACCATCGTTTACTGTCATTTCTCATACCCCAACCAGGTCAGTCAGTCAGTAACAACGTAGAACTTCGTGCGTTCGTACATCAGTTCGAGTTGCCACACTACATTAGCACAGAGATGCAGTGGTCGATTCAAATCCCGTAGTAGTAGAGGCAATAAAAGTATAAGCAGTAATCAGGAAAATTAGTGTTTGGAGACGTTATTTAAAGAGTATAATACAGTAAAATAAATTTGGGAAGAGAAAAAAAGAGACGAGGACTAAGGAGATCAAAATTTGCGAGAACACAAAGAGTGGATGCACCTGCGTCATTGCAAACGATTTTGAGCCATGTCATTGAGGGTCTCTAACCATCGGTTGCTATCAACTAGCGGTCCTCAACCAGGTAGTCTACACCTACCAACATGACTCAGTCCACTTGTCAGTGACTTCATGGACTTGTGCCATGTTTTGTTTTAATCATTCCTAGCTTTCTTCCAACCTACTCTTACACCAGACAACTTCGTCCTTCGATGTAGGATGTGGTCAGACCTACGCAACATCTGTCCAAACCACTTCAGTCGGAGATTTACTACCTCATCAATCGAGTTATCATTTTTACCTGATACCCTATCTTTAACGCAGAGATTGTTCACTTGGTAGTTGCAAAATAATTAAAAGATGCGTTGATGACAATTTTGGTCGAATACTAGTAACCTTTGAATATCTTCTATTCTAAGTGCCAATTCTTGACGTTTACCAAGTATAACGGAACCGAACTGCTAAGCGGTACGTTAACAGCAGGATATATGTCATTTTATACTAGTAAAAAATATAACTTATGTAGAATATCAATAAGAAGTTATTATGTTATGCAATATAACACCTGATCAATCGTAATTTTGACTAGCTTTAAATCAAATAGTTATTTGTTAACTCTTAAAAAAGATTAAAGACAATTCAGCGGTGAAAATGTGCTTTTTGGTGATTCCATTTACTGAAATTGTACAATCCTATTTACAATTAGTTTATTTACTAAAAATGGTAATCTATAATAAAACAGAATGGTGTTGAATAATAAAAATAAAGTTTATATGGTATTGTGTCAAAAATTGCTTACAAAAGGATGTTATGTAATAATCCATCGGTTAATGACAAACGTTCAGGTGAAGATAATTGCCTACTAAATAGAAACTGAGTACTAAATCTGTATTAATGGTTAGTTAGTAATTGTGAAAAGTTATCGGAAAGATTATCGAAGATAAAAAGAAAGGTTGAGACCATTCTATATTTTACTATGAATTACCATTGTTTGCAGGTAAATGAACTACGGATACGATTATACAGCTTAAGTAAATGAAATCATCGAGAAAATCTTTTCTCTGGATATTTAAACAAGTTTAAGAATATACCATTATTTTACCAGGTTGATTTTTTCGTAGTATTCTTGTATTTAATGTTATATGTGACTAACCAGCTTAGAATGGGTTTCGAGCATGGGACGTAGTGGTTGAATGTCAAGATTTTTAGTAATTAGAAGAGTTTAAAACAATTTTCATTTAACTAGACATGACTACTTGAGTGGTGTGATTAATTAGCCCTCACACCAAGAAGTGTGTTTGAAGACTAAGTACCATTAACCTGTACATAATTGATGTGTTACATTCAGTAAAAATTTTTATGAATTTATTATTAGTGTCTAAGTTTTCTCGTTTTATGATTACTTCTAAACTTTCTCAAGTTTTGGACTATAGTAATATGGTTTAAAGTATATGTTACTGTTGAAATAATGTTCCGTAAAATATTGACCTTATTTCGTATGCCCTTAAATTTCGTAGCATAAATTTTATGTTCGATCAGCCAATCATTTGATTTTTAATTCTATATTTTTTTGTCTTGAAATTATCATACAGTTCTACTCTATTTGTTTGTATATACGTTTTTTGTATTACTATCATACGATTATTGATGCATTTATTTGTAACTGAGCGATGTCTCACGCAAGTTACTCACATTATGAACTGTTTTTGTAGCTTATTTGTCAAATTTTTATAAGATTTGTATTCTTATGCTTTTTATAAAGTCTATAACATTATTTCTACATTTGAATAATAATAAAATTTAGTCAATTCAGTTAGAAATCATGTTCATTTCTAAAAGTGATCTGTTTTTCATTTTTAATATGTAGACTTCACGTATTGATTCATCAACTCGACCAGCATCACCAGCTCAAGCTGGAATGCTTAACAAATCAGATACACCTTTAGTAAATGGAAAAGAAAACTCTCAGCTACCTCCTCAATATCCGTTTAAATCATCACGAGATTCTAAATCAAATGATACAGAATTAATTGCACTACGCAAGGAACGAGATCAACTTTTAACTACAATTGAAGAGATGAAGTAAGTGTTTGCTTATACTACTTGTTTTTCTGGTGAGATTATAATTTATGGTCAAACAAATGAAATTTGGGATAACAGGTCTTGGAATGTGGTTCGGAATTCATTTATCTATTTGGCTAAAAAGCGTTTCGGCATTTTAACCAATGTCAGTTCGTGATGAAAACCTTAAATCTAATTTCTAACCCTAAATATTAACTGTAAATCATAATTCTAATTCCTCACACTGGTTTATAAGCGTCATTCAGTTCTAGTTAGTAGGTGGACATTCTCAAGGTCACTTGAGCGTCGCTCAAAGGTCGTTCATAAATGATAGTCTCATCGCTTTTTCTATTGATAATTACTCTTAAAACGTCTTTATATGGAATTATGTTTCCTTCGAGTGTTGTAGGCATTATATTGTAAAGTTTCGTATAAACTGTTAATTAAGCATAAACTAACAAAAATGACCTTATGTTGTTCACGACCTACGGATGGTATTCGTATTGTGAAATTAACTGGAATCAATTTACATGTCCTTGTAGTAATTCCTAGAAGTTATCGTAGTCAACAGAATAAACTATCTTTTTACCAGCTTTATTCGTTTGATAGTTTATGAAGTTTTTTGTGTTAGTTCGATGGGAAATTCATTGAGGAATTACATCTAAAAGGGATTAGATTACTGTGAAATAACTAAATCGAGTTCAAGTATGAAATGTGGAATATAATTTATTAGAAAACTTAAAAGATGGAGCAGTCCCGAGGACACTGTTGTGGGGCCGGAAGAGAAGCCGTTCGTTGGCGCGGTCCGGTCTAGGACTTTTTTAACCAGCTAATCTGACTTTCTTATTTTTTTCAGATCATTTTTCATGTTTATTTATATAAGTATGTGTATATGTTTACTTACGTTTTAACAGACATTGTATCACAGAGTATGATCGTAGTTTACAGCATATGGTTGAAGAGAAAGCTCATAGTCAAAGAGAAGTCAATATTCCAGTAGCTGATTTAATTAAAGAACGTGATGAAGCTGTAGAAGAGTTAGCTACTATTGAGAAAGCTTTTGGGGATTTACACAGACGTTTTGAGAAATCGAAACAAATTATAGAAGGTTTTAAACAGGTTTGTTCTTTTGTTTTTAAACTGTTATATATTTTAAATAAATAATATATTTGTAATATTCCAATGAGTAGAAAAATTAGAATTTCTGACATACTATATAAAGTTGGATTAATTTTACTTTGGTTATTTATTCTCTGAAGAAGTAATTTGCACTAAGTCACGAAACGTCAGAAAATTTAATTTTTCTACTCATTGGAATATTACAAATATATTATTTATTTATAACAATCTACCCAATGCTCAATTTATTCGAAATTATCAAATCAAACCTTGGTAATGTTATATATTTTATTACTTCCATTTCTCATCATTTGTATTCTTTATGTTGATTTTTTTATTCTGCTTTTGTTTTAATAAACATTATGTCGTCCATAATTTGTACTTATGTGGAGGACTACTACAACATTCTAGTTGTTCTATGTATGTAAACTATTCCTTACTCTTTTTTTACTTTAAATGAAGTACATTTGATATTCTAGATCAGTGTGTTGCATGCTGAGCTGACGTTGTATTCTGTCTTTTTATAGGTGTTTATGTCAATAACTAATTACCTCTTTAATTTTTTATATTCGTTTCAAGGATCAGCGAACACTTCTTAGTTAATTATGACAAAGCCTTATTTAAAAACGAAAAACTGTTCTCGTCTTTCATTAATGACCAGTTTTTCGTTTTTAAATAAGGCTTTGTCATTACTTTTGTTCGCTCCATTGATTTCTTGTGTAAAATCAAATGATGTAGCATTAAAGTTCTAAATAGACATAATTATAATTCCATATACCTTTTGTGAAATGATAACCACTAGTTACACACACTGCACTTCACTGTATTCCCGAGTAGGTCGTCTTTTTGAAACCAAAACTACCGTCATATTAAAAGACTGAATAATTTATATTAATTTTATTGAAATCAATAATCGACCCGAGTTAAATCACCATTAAAAAGTTGGAAGCTCTGTTTGGCTGTCTTATTCTAGTATGGGACTCTTCAGCAGTATCCATCCACCGTCCGTCATACGGAGTGCTGGGTCAGTTGTCGAGATCTAAGGTTCTGGGTTTTCGCGTGCGCGGTCGTGAATGCCCATTTCTGAGAAGTTTGATTCTAGGACTAAATGGTCGTCCAGTGCTTCCGGGTTATCATTGGTGGTCTATCGTAGACCGATTTATGATTTCATTGAAATTTAACAATATCCACAAGCCCGAACTGATATTAATTCTTTGTCATTTAGTTGTTTATAAGGGTGAGGGGAGCAAGAAATTATCAATTTCTTATTTACATTTGATTGGTCACTGGGCAATGACCACTGTAATGTTTTTGTCTAATTCTTTAGTACTGATTAAAATATATCCTTCGAACGGCAACTAAATCGTTATAATTTAATTAGCGTTAACGAACTAAATAAAAACATGACGTTGAACACTGTTCAATAACCAATCAATTGTAAATATCCCTTAGTCCTACATAAGAGTGTGTCTCAGCTCAAATAACTCAGCAGTAACATCTCAAACCGTTGAACTAGGTGATACAAGATTGAATGCACAGGAATAGTTAAGTTTCCTTAAGAATACAGATACACCTCACTCATAAGTATTAAGTATAGTAAAACGCAAATCCAGAGTTTACTGGTGACTATCTCCAACAGGTGGCCTTGACTCGTTTAATATTATTTAGTTGTTTATTCTAACTAGAAAAGTCCTATGAAATTAAAGTTATAGGTTCTTTCATCAAAATTTTTTTTATTTATTCTGCGTATGCAATAGGATTTTAATCTTGGTTAACTTTAGATTGAAGACTACAGTAAACAGCATAAAATGATTTTTCGTTATTTCTTTTTGTATCTAGGTATAGTTTAAGGAGAAAACATCGGATCATGTTTATGCTATGTCGAGCTTACTTTTACTTGTATCATTTAGTTTTTTGTTAGTAGTTACTTTTTCCTTAGGTTGTTGACTTTAAATTTATTGTAATACTTTGAGTAAAGTAAATTTCTAGAAATTTATGAAGTGCATCTAACAGATTATTGTTGTTCTTAAAGAAAACGACGTATGTTATCTGTTTTCATTTGTAAAATTTGTGTACTTTTTCCAAGTATTATCTAACCTGACCGTACTTTTACTGTACTTCTTAAATCGTTTTTACAATATTTGTTTCCTTATTTGTCAGAATGAAGAGGCTCTAAAAAAGAGCATCGATGAGTATAAAAATTTATTACAACGTCAGGAAAGAAAATATTTAGCTTTGAAAAAACACGCTGAAGATCAGTTGTTAAAGTGAGTAGCCGTTAGTAATATAAAATATTCTATCTTATACTGAGTAGTAAAATATGGCATTGATTGCTTAGTTGTATGTCCAGCTTAATGTATGTGTAGGTCTTGAGTAGCTTGTTAACTGGTCTGGGTCAGGATCGGAATCGGTGATATGGAGTAAAGTATTTGAACCCGTCGACCGTTTTACTTACCTTGGCAGACCAATTAATCTGACGAAGTCTCAACACGGATATGCAAAACTCTCTTGTCTTTTATTAGAATTGGTTACCTGTAGCATAGGTGAGATGTCCGTTTGCCAATGAACGTGTATACTGGGCAGCAATTCGCTCTACTTTAATTTTTGACTAAAACTTTGCTTTAACAAGTAGAGGGCATTCGTATTTTACTATTAATATATAACTTAACATGTCTTCGAAGCAATGCTCATACATATTGGGACCACCGAGCGAACAGTGTTAGTGTTAAATGCAAGATAACAGGTGAACGTTGCAAATCAGCTGATGTAAAAGTGATTCTCCGTCGATTCAGGTTGTTGGGACATGTATTACTTATACCCACCCACCGCCTACCCCGATGAGCAATGCTTGTTAGAGTGGGCTGAAAGAAAGCTAGATGGTGACCAAACCAATACGTGGCATCATTTCGCAATGTTACTGACTTTTGAACTGAGCCATGTTGAAGCTAAGTGGATAACGCGATGGCGTTTGAAGCGAACGGTACTGGGTTCGAGTCCCAGAGTGAACATCAACTCTGAGATGCAGGTACACCCAGCTGACGAGTCCCAAACAGAACGAAACGCGCGTCCTGGATTCCACTGCTAGCCACTATCCATCATTGCTTATGAGCCATGTTGGTTCAAACTACTTGGTTGGAGTCCACGTCATTACTTTATCCAATGGTTGCGAACGTTTGTTTTGTCAATTTTGATCACATTGGCAGTCGTATACAGAGAATCCTAATAACTCACAACTATCTGAAGCCTGTTCTAATAATGTCCTATTAAGAGTTTCACAACCGAACTACCCAGCTCAGAGAACAAAAGTCCATCCAGATTACCCACATTTTACTATATTGTAACTGAATCGTATATATTTACTTAATATGACGTGCGAAGTTCATTTTAATTTGCATTTTAAATATATTTTTCCATTTGTAAATAGAGTAAATCAAGACACAGAAGGAATAAAACAAGAATATGAAACAAATCTAACTCGATTACAGGCTTCATTAAGAATTTCTGAACTTCAGGTTAAGAGTCTTGAATCTCAGTTACAGCAAAAGGTATGTGGTAATTTATATTTTTGATTTTACACCGCACTTTGTTGTAAACATAAATTTGTTAATAAAATGACCACTATATGCCTCAATAAAATTATCGGTTTTCATTCTCTTTTGATTCTATTTTGTCGTTCACTAATTTTCTTTGTAAAAGAACTGTCTTACACTTTAATTTCCATAGTTTAAATCACGAAGTGATCTTATCTATGCCGCCTTTGAAACTTAGTAGCACTAAACAGCTTTTTCGTTCTATCATAGGACTTCCCAGCAATGAAAATCCACGAACCCAGGGCTTTCGATCTTTCATGCGAGCGCTTGACCTCTTGACCACCGAGTCGTCATCCGACGGTGTACATGTCTAATTTCAATCAATCCACAATATTGCGCAACCTTCATTCATTGCCTATAGTGGGTAACTATCTTACACTCGATATGGTTGAACTTCACTGGTCACAGCTTTTCACTAGAACTCTAGGAGTTACATCTTAAAGCCGATCACTAATGAACACATGATTGTTATTAGTATAGGGTGATTTTTATTGATTGTAGAATTTTTATAGTTTAAATCAGAAACTGACCTTAGTCAAAACATCATTGAAAACCTTTCTGTAGTGTTATTTTCCATCCAGTGATTCTTTTTTGTTTGTTTAAATGATTGTGCCGTATATATACCCGATTATTATTTCGTGTGTATACTTTATGCGATAAAACACAAACTTTACTCCGTGTTATTTGTTTTTACTAACCAAGTATCAATAAGAGAGCAAAAACAAATATTGATGCAGAATAATATGAATACATTTTATGTTGTTAGGTTCACATCATCTACTCACAACGTATAATATTTTAAAATCAAAGTTATTACATTTGTTGATATATTCATAAATGCGACGGTGATTAGAAATGAATATGTGTATCATGATGTAGCGAAGATTCCAATCGAGTTAATAAGATCATAAAATATTTTGATTCAGATGAATAAATAATGTGTAGGAGAGAAAGTTCCAGAACATTATTCATTATTTCAACTCTTTCTCAAGTTTTGATTACATCATTGTCATTTTTCTTTCATTTATAATTTTGATTAGAACTGACTGATTTGAAGTTATATCATTCTTTTATAGCACTAACCTGTTTTCAGTTACTTCATTACACAACCATCTAAAGTTTGTCAACTCTGTTTTCTAGTCACTAGTTCGGTGTTCTAAAATCTTTCCCTTAAACACTTTATTTATTTATCTGAAACAAAATATTTTATGATCTTATTAACTCGATTGGAATCTTCGCTACATCATGATACACATATTCATTTCTAATCACCGTCGCATTTATGAATATATCAACAAATGTAATAACTTTGATTTTAAAATATTATACGTTGTGAGTAGATGATGTGAAGCTAACGACATAAAATGTATTCATATTATTCTGCATCAATATTTGTTTTTACTCTCATTAAGATAATAAAGGGATTTATGTGTAGGAAACAGGTTTCAATAGTTCACACACACAAAAAAAAACTACCAGTCAAAACTGATCCAAATACTCAGATTTATATTTAGTGGTGATTGAATTACATGGAATTTCACAAATTGTACTACAAAATAGCTAGTATTTCTCACTTTATTTAGGTATCCTTAATTTTTCTTTTTCAATCAATACAAATTGAAACTAAATAATCATTTTAGGGAAGTTTATAGATCTTGCATATAAACATTTCATGTTGATGAGTTTACTTGTCAGATGTGGGAGAAATTCGTTCTTATCATATCACGCCTATAGAATTTTCAGTTGAATGAACCTTCAGATTTTATAGAATATTGGAATTTTTTCAAAAACGAAGATTTATTATGACTAAAATAATGTATACGAAATCGTGGTTCTTGAGATTACTGCACATTACTGCTCACTGTAATCATCTGTTCGGATCTGTCAATATCCTATCGTTAGCATGTTTAATTATCAATGTTATGTATGGCCTCCATCTTTGAGATGATAATTCTATTCGGTTGTTCAAGCTGAATTAGTTGGGTCAGGATTCGAATATGCGACTTAAATCTTGGTAACCGAGTCCTTTTATCACAAAATCCACATTTCCATTATCTAACATAGACAAATAACTGACCTCATTGCTAAATCGGAAGGTACAAGTCACATTGTTAATGAATTTAACGTAACTTCTTATGGTAAAATCTAACTTCATAGAAAGTACATTGTGGTTAAAATAACATCAATTTTTTGTTGTCATTATTTTCATTGCTTATTCTCTTTATAGTCATTTACAATCGTATTTCATTGTTTATTTCCAGACTCGTGAAAATGAAGAATTAACTAAAATATGTGATGAACTATTAAGTAAATACGGTGGAATAACATGATATCATCATGAAAATGTTACAGATATTATTTGTGTATAATGGAAAACAAATGATGAGTTTTCAATTTATTTTATTTTTCAAAACATTTTTTCCTACATACGTAAATCGTCTTCTTCTCGACGACGACGAAGAAAAAGAAAATGACAATGTAGAATCAGAAGGAGTTATTGATGAAGATATCTACACATATACATATACATAAAATAGGAAGAAATTTATTAACTGTTATTATTTTTGTCCTCATTTCCACCTCCATTTGAATGTGTTTGTGTGTGTATATTGAAATAAACATTTTCTCTCTTACCTAACGATTACGCCATTTAGCATATATATATATATATATATATATATATATATATATGGAGAGAGAGAGATGCATCTGTATGTTTTGTGTTGTTGATTGCTTTCGTTTTGTTTGGTTTATTGTAAAGTGCCTAATGCATTTTTTAACTCATTTTAATCCTGTGCTTAAAAGTGAAAACAAAGAAGATTTAATATTATGATACAACACTATCAAAAATCCTAATTTGTAAACTATAGATTTCTGTTATTATTGTTGTTTAATCACTGTTCAATCTTGAATACTTTTGACTGTAATAGTTGCGACACTTGAAAGTACTTTCCTTTTATCATTATATATATATGGACCCATACACACATACCAACTAACTTAGACTGTTATATTTATCTACTCGAGCAGATATATCACTCAAATATAATACATTGCAAATAAAATTATATTAAAATTTTGGTACTGTTTGTAATATCATAGTGTTGAAATCTTTTGAGTTTAAGAAGAAAAAGACTTCTTTTGCTTTGATTGTTGTTGTTTCAACGCTGTAGTTTGTTCTAGTAAAACTTAAGCAATAAAATATATATCATCTCAGTTCCGCCTAAAATGTCCAGTAAGTGTCAATGAACAGCTTCGAGTTTGTTTATGTATGCATTATAAATTTGTGATTATAAAATATTCTTTTGGTATTCTTTATTCCAAAATCATTTTTATGGGAACTGATAAATCTGACTGCGCGCTTGAATCGGTTTTCTAAGCTCTTCTTAGAATCCCGGGCTAATTCTACACGACAACCTGAACACAAGAGAAAAGGCGCGTAATACGTAAAGAACGCTTTAGTCTAAAGTTAGTTTATATACAGAAAATTTAGTGTATTTATAGCGTTTCAGATGGCCTTGGACTTCTGAAAAGTTCTGGAATGCTACTAAACATAGTATCGGGATAAGGATCATCTAAGTCAGAAATGTGACACGTGACTCTCCACTTTCTAGACGTTTCTGAGAAATTTCTATTCAGTGCTGATTTGATAAAATGTTTCCCAGTGTCCCTAGAACTTTTTTTCAAGGAATTTTCTGGGTCTCCCCAACGGAAACTATACAAAGTGGAGCATAGTTTATTTGGAACTAATCGTTACTTACTGATGCAACTTGAAGGAAATGGTTATTGGGTTTAGAATAATTTCCAGCTGTAATTTTGTTTACTTTTCCCGATAAGAAGATTAGATATGAATCCGGAAGAGCTTGTTGCTATTTTAATATATATTTTTTCATAGTTTAAAACATCTTTAGGCTCAATCGTGATGTGTAATGTTTTGTCAAAATGTTGATACGCTGGTGGTGGTATGGTTTTTTGTTACTACTGCGAAATAAACAGCTATGTACAACCTGTTGTTGATCAAAAACTGGTCAAGATGACTTTAAAACGTACAACGAAATATTTATGATTATATCTGTTCAATGAGTAAATTTGAATGCATTGAACAGGAGGTAATTAACATTAATCAAACGGCAGGTAAATTTATGTATATAGTTTACAAAGGCAATCGATTAACTTCCGTAACTAACAAATTTAACTATATTAGTGAGTTATGTATTTTCCTTCTTCCTAATGTAAATAATCTTAGCGTTTCACTTCGTTTAATGATTAGTGAGTCTGTTAAGGAATAGCATTCTTTATATGCAATTTCTCTAGCCCCAAAAAATCATAAAAAGTTCGTTAGAAGGTTTACATGAACCCGAATACTACATCAGAAAGAGTCTAAAGGTAAAATACCAGTATTTATGCTTAAAATGTCTTATTAATTGGAATAACATTCAATTATACAATCACTAGCGTTGACAATATCGCCAATATGATGAGTGCAACTATGCGGTGCCAAAATAAGCAGGATGGTAACACTTGAAAAGATGTGGACACGCTGTCTTCTTTTGGTAGTCTCTGCTTACACTCACAATGATGAGCTTGAATGAAACAATTATGATTTTTCATAGGAACATTTCTGACTTCCTTCCAGAACACTAGGTACCTAGGTGTATTAATGGTAGTAGTTCACCTTATTGACCAGTTATAAAGACCAAACTGAGTTGAAGGACACTTGAGAAGGTCTTTCACCGTCCGAGCTCAGGTAACAGTTATAGTCTGTAACTAGGCTCAGGCAACTGCAAGCACAAAGGTAAAGTAGGAGGAGGGTGATCGTCTGACATAGTAACCTCCAAAACCGGCTGAATGAATGACGTGAAAAGACACTCGCCGTCAACATTTTTGGGAAAGGTTCGATAGGAAATTACCACTCATTTTGTAGCACATTTTGAAAGTATAATCAACCTTTAATGAGAATACGCGTTTGTCTCTATCATAGATACTATCAGGAACCTAGTAAATCTGAACAACACACCCCATAAAAATAACATAAATCTGGCGAAAGCCAAATCTATTCATTAATATTACAGTATATGATATTACTTTACAATATCATTGATATAGCTGTTCTAAATACAGTGGTAAAAGACACTAACAGGTAATATCTATGGTAAATTCAATGACCACACAAGTGAAATATAATAAGACTCATTTACAGAAAACTTCGAACTAAAGAATATCTAGATAGTTATGCTTATTTTAATCTGAAATGGCATCGTCAAAAAAAGGTTTATTTTTAAAATTTACTAAATAATCATGAATAAAAACTACAAATTCTAAAATAAAATGATAATCTTGGTATATTGTTAGTGTATGTAACATTAGCTTTTATTAAATTTTAATGTTAATCGTTTAATTCGTTCATTCAACCGATATACTGTCTCTTCATCACTACTTTGATTGGCTTTCGATTCATCTAATTGTTGGTTAATTTCATTTTTGGGAGAATTAGTTGATTGATTTTCTATCTGTGACCATGGCCTACGTTCACGTTCAAATTCATTGTTAATTATTTGAAATTTAGTATTCATACGGTGTTGTCCAACTGATTGACGTGATCTTATCCTAATATTATTGTGCTTTTCATTTGTGTTTGTTGATAAGTGCTAAGTTAAAATGAGAAAAATTAATATGAAGAAATTGAGTATTATTTTAAACTTTTGGATGGTCGTGAATGAACTACATATATTCACCGTCTTATATAATTCGGTGTCTAGGAATTTCCACATATAATATATGTAAAATCCTTCATTTAATTGTCTAGAAAGATTTTTAGTGTTGACATCCAACAGATAGCTAGCTAATTAAGATGAAAAGGTTTGCTTTCAGTACATATATTAATATTATTATTTCCATTTGAACTTACGACGATAATAGTCTTTAGTTTGACTAAACATTGTTCGGTTAGTTCAGTATACTATTTTACTGATGTTTGAGCGATTTAACAATCTCCTCTATAGCTTGAACAATTTGAAATTCACGAGTTTTACTACTCACACTCATTGAGTTTTAGGGATTTGTCAGTCAAAAATTGTTGGAAGAAATTTCAAAAAGAAAGTAAACTAACTAGTAAATATCTTTTGCTGAATTCAAACTCAAATATATATTTTGCTTGAACTATATTGGTAGTTCACCTCAATCAATAACTGTAAACAAATTCATATTATACTCAGCTTTGATCAACACTGAGTTATTATTTTATAACTGTAAACTATGCTGTTTCAAAATACAAAGTGTAAAATTTTGATTCCGTATAACATGTTCTATTCTGTCAATGAATTAAAGGTTATCTAAATATTAACATAGATACTGTGGTGTTAATCACGTACTTCAAACACTGACGTAGAATGTGAAATAGTAGGTTTTGAGACCATATTCAATTCATCTGTATTACCTTTGTCCTTATTCAGTTTATTATTTTCTTTGGTGAATTTAGATAATGAATTTGAAGAGTTTGAAAAATTAAGTTTATTTGCATTAGAACGGCTTCTTGATCGATTGTGTACTACTCTAGGATTTGATATATTGTTAGAAATTAGATCCATCATTGTATTATGATCATCATGGCTTGATTTTGGTTTATCTTCTGCTATTCGACTGTTTTTATGATTATATTTTGTATCTGGAAAAGATAAAGAACGGAAGAACATTCAAATCAACTGAATATTTGTGATTGATAATTGAAATACTATTATTAGCAGTTTTCATCAACATAGAGCGTAGCTCAAATGTGATTTGACCCAGGCTTTCATACCACAATAGTACAATTACATGAAAGTAATAAGATGTGTAGCAAAGGAATTTAAGAAGCTTAATAGTGGTGGTAATGAAAAGGACTAAACATTGAGAATATGGTATGAAAACGGTTGAAGTGCAGGACCTCAAGATTGAGAGGAGGATGAATAATGAATAAATCTACACCATTGTGGCTCATTCTAAGCCATGTCACCCACAGTCCACACGTAGTTTTGATCATCATGCGGACCTTGACCAGGTATTTTGTACTTGTCAACATGGATTAGGCCAACGGTTAGCGAATTAACGGACTGATATCATGTCTTGGTTTAGTCACCTTTGGTCTTCCAGACTACTTCTGCAAACCATCCGTCTAACTAGATCGTGGTCATGTATAAGTAATATGCTTCCCAACTACCTCAGCTGGTTTCAAATCTTCACCTAGTGCCTTATTCCTAATGTCAAAATTCTTCAGCCTGTCGTTCCACGATACATGGGCAGTACCTCAAAGACACCTAGGAAATTTTGTTAATTAATCTTCCATTTAGCACATTAAAGTGATTTTAAATCAATCAATTCTAGTAATAGTAAAGCGTATAACATTACATACCTAGTTACTACTATCAGTACATTTTATGCATTGTTTCTACGAAAATTGAAATGAATCGAATAATCAGAAAGGGGTTTTGTGGATATTATAGTAGTTGAGTTCATGAGTCAATAGAAGCTAGACCACCATGGGATACCTGGAAGCACTGGACGGCCGTTTCGTTCTAATGTGGGATTCCTCAGCAATGCGCATCCGCCTCTCAGGATTCGAACCCAGGACCCTCGGTCTAGCACGCGAACGCCCAGACTCCAGACCACTGAACCGGCTTCCAACGGTGTTAATGTCTAACT